GATGGCATGGTGTCACAACTGGTTTAGAACCTGAGAAAACCAGCTCTTTGCATTAACAGGCTCCATCTTCCCTTTGTCCTTTTAAGAAATGTACCCAAGGATATATTTTTATGGTATTATCTGTGAGTCAGTGCCCTCCACTTTATGCAAAGCACAATACAGAGGGTCATTAACACAAGTGAAGGATGTCACATAATATATATCCTCTGCTCAGCCACCTATTATATACGCGTTTGTACTTGACTGAGTAGATTAGGTAAAGTACATTAATTTATAAAGAAAGAATGTAATACAAAGAAACTTATTTTCTTTTGTAGTTTCTCTGTTCTTCTCTCTGTCATGGATCTACTCCCTCCTACTGCAGTGAAAAGGGTACATTAAAATTAATATTCTAAGCTGGGATTTTCAAAGCAGACTATGGCAGTGAAGTGTCCAAAAGCCACTGACATTCAATGCAAGCTAAGTCTTTAACCTCTTTGAAAATTCTTAGCCAAAATCCATTAGCGCATACTTCAAAGAGATAATATTCACAATTCCAGGAGTAATTTTCCTAACAGCCTTTCATTCTCATTTCTGACAGGCCCTTCCCCCCTAGATCCAAGCCCCCTGTTGAGGTACAAAACCAAATTGCTTCCACACCCTTTGTAATTCAGACCTCAGCTTTAGCTCTGATTCTTTTGAGGCATTTGTTTTTATATTTAATGACACACAACAATCTGTGTGTAGAAGAGACAAAATGCAACTCTACAATATTGGCTTTCTATCTTTATCTTGTCTCATCTGTCATGCCTCTTATAAATGGGTGTAGCTGGTGCTTTATAAACAGGAACCAGTTCATCCAGATATTTTGACTCCTTACCATGAAGAGTGAATTCACATATTGTGTCTTTTGTTTATGGTCACTTCTCATATTTTGGCAAGTGTTGACTCATCCCCACCAGTCTGCATCCTACTTTGTCAGCCTTTCTTTCTAAAACACAGTGCTGCAGTAGTTGTGGCTTTTCACATTTTTTGCTTCAGTCATTTATACTAATTTTTCTCCCCCCACCCTCCCAATCACAGCATAAGAAGACTTCATTGATTAAATTAATCAGGTACAGAAGATGTGATCTGACCTGAATTTTTGCAATTAGCGATTCAAATAATTTATCAGAAGGCAGGTTTTAATTGCATTCGAAGTCAAAGGATGCTGTAGTAGCAAACCCTTACTGAGAATCTGCTACACTACATTGACACCTTGTGGCTGGTTCTTCATAATGCAAAGTATTCACCCAGACTAGTGGGAATAAGAGGGAGTAAAATGTAAAACTTGTGGGGAAAATATTTCCATTTTAAGTACTCACAGTGAATGGGAGCTTGAGAAAGGGTGTCTAGATCAAGCTCCATTTTAAACCTTAGTCAAATCCCTGTCCAAATTCAAGCCTATATGTACTTCAGTGCTGAACATAGGACCAAGACCTACACATTTCCCATTTTCTCTACAATTCAGATCTTTGTGGGATCTGGCCTTGAAGTGTGTGTCCTGAGTGTACCTCACACTGCCCATCTCCTGCTGACATGTTGTACTTCAGTGTCCATGCTAAATACAGCAGGATAAAGAACGAACAGCTCTTGCTGCAACGGTACCTGCTGCCAAAATGGAATGAGATTAAAATTATATTTGCAGAAGGAAACACAAACTTTAAAGTATGCGTGTGAAATAACTGTGTGGAAAGGTCAAACGGAATGAAGATGCTGCGTGTGAGCAGTCTTTTTACTGCCTACCCGATGGAGAGGAAATGGCACAATGCAGGAAGCCCATTTAGAACAGGCAGATGGGCAGTGACATAAACCCGAGACAGCTCATCTGCTCAATGTGTAATCATTGTGTTTGAAATCATTTTCATACAACCTTCCTGAGTAGCCACATAGGAAAGGAACTGCTGAAATGCTAATCGAGGGAAGGATTTGAAAAGGATTCGGATAAATCAGTTACAAACAGTGCTCTGGCCACCATTCAGTGAATCACTGAGCAACATGCAGTGATTTCTCAGGAAGACTAGCTCTGTCATATGAGCCTTTTAGGCAAATAATCAAATAGCAATGCTAAACCTTACAAATAAATTACCCTTCTGCAAAGACTATAAAATCTCCTTTAGTTCACTCCCTTCCCTGTATCAGTCAATACCATCACAAGAAACTCTAAAGTTAATTGTTTCGGTGAATAACCATACTTGAAGCATGATTTTAGCGTTCTGTGAGCAAATACACTTCCATGAAATAAGGGCTACTTATCAAGTTTTTGAGAATGAGGGAACTGGGCATCAGGGAGTCCCTCCTTTCTCCTGCTTATTTTCTCCTCAGAATATGAGGAGGTTGCTTTTGGGCCCTGCTGCTGCCCTGGCAGATGCGTCAGAGTAAGTCACAACTTGAAAAGGCATTCACACCAGGAGCTGGGGTGGTGCTCTGGTGTCTGTGGGCACCCTGGATGGATCTCAGATGCCTTTGGGCAAAAATGGCTGAGTTACAAGGCTGACTGCACTGACAGCAGGGGCTCGCTGGGTTGGGGAGGTATCCAAAGAAGCATGGCAGGAGGAGAGCAGATATAGGGGCTTTTATGCACACTGGGGCCTTTCAAGTGTGGAAGAGAAGATTGTGTCAAAGCCTCCACAGTCCTCCACACATACAACACTATCCAGCACACACCCAGTTCCAAAGTCAAGGATGTGAAATGGCAGTGGAGGAGGGTGGGAAGGATGCCTGGACTGACCTGGTCTGCACCTATTTCTGTCTCCATTCAGAGCTCTACAATAATTGTTTTGAGGTTTAGACTGTTTGAGGGTTATTAATCTACTGTGTCAGTTTAATTTTATTAATTAAGAAAAAGATTGTGGTTCCTGCTGGTCTTTTGACCGCATGGGAGTCTCTAGTGACACAACTCCACCAGGATGTGGGTAGGAATGGGATGATCTGTGGCTCTGCCTGTGGAAGAGCTTCCAGAAAAGTGAAGATCTGCTGGGTAAACCCTGCCCTTCACCATGGATCTCAGCCAAGTAACCTCAGCTTAATGATGGTCATTAACATTAAACAACATGCAAAATCTTGTTAGTTCAAAGTCCAGTAGAGTTAAATGATGATTCTTTGAAAAGAATTACAGCAATCTATTCATTGTCATGGAACTAGATACAATTAAAGAAATTCCTTCAAAAATAACTCAATTATATATATTTTTGTTCTAAACTGTTTTCTTTAAGGATTCCTTAAGTAAACAGTAATTACAGACCACGAAACTGCAGCTTAATGCAGTAATAAGTATACATGATATTGCCATGCAAGGAGTTAGCGGAGAGAAAACCCCAGTCTTTGAGGAGAGGTATAAAGACAACATGTCCTAAACATGACCTGAAACCTTGTGTCAATACTGTTGGATGTAAATTGATTGTGAACTTCTCTCACGTCTGCATACACACTTATACCCAGTATTCAGAAAAGGCAGCTCTCCAAAGCTTATGTGAAGACATTGCATATCTCAACCACAGGATTCTTTTCTACTCTTATATAGGAGTGACATGTACAACCTGTTGCATTGAATATCAACCCGGAGCTCTGGCCATTCCATATGTTCTTTGAATTAAAAGCAGCTTTCAGTCTTAGCAAGTTCTTCAATATGTAGAATTCATTTGGCAGCTTACACAGCCCTCTTCACTATGGCACACCATTCCCAGCAGCCAGTTTGCACAAATGCATAGTGTTTTGGAGACTGAGGTAAATTCACTAACTTACATGTGACCTGTTCTATGCCTGTGGTCCTCAGGGTCTCTGATATTTTCCAGGGTTTTTAATTTTTAAATTTACTGAACCAAAGCAACCAAGAAACCTGCCCTAGGCCACATAGAAAGTCTCCGGCAGGAAATTGAAACACATATCAAGGTGATGCTCTAAACATAACCAAAGTTTCCTTTTTCTTTCTTATTCTTTCCTTAAAAAACCCTATGAAATCTCTTCACTCCCTTTTATATCCCTCTGTTTCTACCCATTAGAATCCTGCCCAAACCCCTTGTGCCTATCTTGTCCCTTCTGCTCTCCTCTTCGGGTAACAACTGAGCACAGCAGCTGCCTGGATGACAGCCATCAACCCAACCCTCTCTGCTCTGTGGTTTACATAGCTCTTGCAATGAGTACATACTCATGAAAATGATAACAGATGTGAAAAAAACTACAGCTTCACCACCTGTTGCTAGTGTAATGGATTTAATTACTGACAGACAGCTTGAATTATTTTGAGGTCTTTTATGAAAGGAAGATTTTTTTTTTCCCTGTGGGAAATCCTTGTTGAGAACATTGTGGTTCCATGAAGGAAATTCACTACAGGGGACAACCCTGTGCCTCTGGTTCCTTACAGATTCCTCCCTGCCAGCAATTTTCCCTTGAACCATTCTCTGATGTGTTAATTATTTCTTTGCCTAATTGACCTGGTGAATTTGTCTCAGTTATATACTTTCAAACTGTCCATAAACTGACCACAATTTCAGCAGTTGCTTTGCCCACCATGCTGGTATTCACCCTTATACTGACCTGCATTTTTGCTAACATCATTCACACAGAAGAGAAAGAGTGGTAAAACTCAAGCCATATTCACTCCAGGTACTCATTGCAACTGGAAAGACAAGTGTAAATATATCCTGTGTGGGCATTTTTTCATTACAACTCTGACCTTGTCTGTGAAATCGTTTCTACTCAACATCTATATGGATACTTGAAATTTTCTGTATTGCCACTAATAACTTTAAGGCAACAGATTTAACTGAGCACTAGTATGTTTTAACTAGATTGTATCCTCAGTATGTGCTTCAGGCTGGGAGAGTGGGAATGAATATCCTTATTTGAAGCATGATTTCTGCTGAGTGGCTGTTGAGTTCAAGAGGTTAAACTGAGCTTCTTGACTAGAGATTGACGTAGCAGCATCCGTTCAGAGAAGGTAGAGGGCAAGAAGAAAAAGGAAGCTCTTGTGCTATGCACTCTATTCACTAGTGAGAGAATTTTATCTAAGATCTGGAACTGTTTGTAGAAAATTTTGACTGAATCCTTCACTATCTGCATCAACTGAAAAGATCAGTGTGGGTACTCTTGGTTCCTCCCTGGTTAGGAAAAAAAAAAAGAATAAGTCAACCCCTGTGCCCACAAGAAACACTACATGTAACAAAATGGTCCAAGGAGGTATCTAGTGAAAGCAGCCAACTGCAGGAGATGGACAACTGTAGGTATGTTTGTCACACTGAAAAATACCACTGCGTAAATAATGGTCTCAAGACACCACTAGAGAGACACTGTCAGTTTAAAATATACCTGCTTAGTTAAGTGAGAACTGCTGGAAGAGCAGTCAGTGGCAGAAACCTGTGACCCCAGAGACAACAAGTAAGCAAAACAAGGAACCAGCTAAAAGGCAACACTAATGACCTTACCTCAGCAAGTAACTAAAGCAGGTAATGTACATGTCGAATCAGAGCACGTGGTGTTGAATTGTTGCAAAATAAGAGATAGAAGAAAGAGAGAAAGTAAAACCAAATGGAAGAAAAGGAATGAGAAAGCATAATGTAAAGAAGATGTAGTCTCCCTCCCATTTTTCTTTCAGTTTTTCTCTCCAATCCAAATTTTCTGCATAGAGCAGTGTATTTTATTTTCGTTGCCATCATTGTCAGCTACACTGGAAGGTCATTTGTGCCATCATTATCAGCATTGCCTTATTGACTGCAGTATGCAACTCAGCTTTTGCTGGTCTTTTGCCTAGCAAGCTCTTCCCAGTCCCAATTTTTGTCATTATAGGGCCATTGGTAGGGGTTTTTTTTGTATAGTTAAAAAAAAAAAAAAAGAAAAAAATGAAAAAAGAGAGAAAGAGAAGAAAAGAAATATAGAAAAAAAAGAGGCTTCTTTAAATTCAGCTGTCTGCTCTTCAGGAAACTGGTCACTCCTCCTGAAAAGAGTATCAGAGGTTGCTTAGCAATAGAAAGATGGCAGCCTGCCTGTCAGACGGCCTTTTTCAGATTATTTCCTAGATAAGTACAATAATTGCAGGGAAGCATCTTATGTGGCTGACTGCACCCTTGCAATGTCTAGGTTAACACAAGGAGAAATGCTATGCTTCAGCTACTTGTACTGCAGCTGATGCCATCTCTTTTCTGGGGAACTAAAACGCAACAACACGTGATATTGCTTTACCTGGTATCATCTCCAGCTAACATTATTTTAAAAATATTATTTTTAATCCTGTAAAGACATATTTAGGAATGGCTGTCATGTGTCCAGACATAAAAGTACACAAAATAAATGTTTCACTAATGATCAGGAATGAAAGTTACTGCTCCTCATGAAAGAGGTTATTAAAAGTCTAATTCCCTAAGCAAATGCATATTATGTTACAAAAAGATTACAATGGCAAGACCTACATGTGAGCCCCCGTGTCTGCATGTGTGTTTAGGAATTTTTATAATTTTAAGTTGTGCATGCTCATCATTTTGCTGTCACTATTACAGCTGCCTTAATTTTATTTATTTTTAACTCGTTATCACAGGGAAAGAGAAAAAAAAGCCAGTTACTCCTTAGACCTGCATTTCTGCATGTGGCCATGCAGTGGCACAGGAGACCAGGAATCTGCAGAACCGCACAAGGCATTTGGTGATTCTGAGGCGGGACTTGGCTCTGGTGCGAGGGGTGGGAGCCTGAGGAATAACTTACCCTGTACCTTGTGCTGGTGCGCGTTACCACAACAGCCGTGATGCCTGTTCGTCCTGCCCCCATGGGCTCCGGGGCTCGGACCTGCCGGCACAGCCCGGCTCCAGCAGCACACGGGCGGGGTGTGTGTCCCGATGGGGTGAGAGGCAGAAGGTGTGTGGCTGCCCTTCACCCCTCTTTCTTCCTTTCTCTTCGACTATGCAAAGCTGATAGGCAGCATCACAGAATCATGGAATCGTAGAATCAGCCGGGTTGGAAAAGACCTCTGAGATCATCAAGTCCAACCCTTGATCCACTACCACCGCGGTTACTAGACCATGGCGCTAAGTGCATCATTTCTGGTACACTCTGCTACAGCTCCTGTGTGTGTTTTCTGCCCCCCGCTGTCGATGTACTCACTGCTGACCCCCATCAGGGCGGGAGCTGCTCGCTCAGGCAGACCTGACTGACTGGCACGACTGAGCGCTGCTCCTGGTTTTAGTGCTTCTTGCTGGGTTAGTGGCACGCTGCGGCAGTTTTGGCAGTCCCGCAAAGCCTAATGCCTGCTCTGGGAAATGGCAGTAATTTCTTTCTTTGCCTGGGAAAGGCTCAGAGCGTCCCGTGTACTGCAATTACGAGCTTTGCCGGTGTTGCCACAATTAACCAGGCTCCTGGACTCAGAACACCCGTCGCACATGTGGTAAGGAGAGGAGGTCTACAGGTCCCCACTGGTGGTCCTTGGTACACAGTGAAACCATCCTCAGGGCAAATCTTCACTGAGTGTCAGAGGAATGCAAAAGCTGTTTCATTCAGGTGAGGAGGGCAGTGTGATAAGGGCTGTGTCCCTCACAGACATCCTGGAGAGAGCAGCAATGCAGTGGCTGCAGCACACTAGTGCACTCGCAGGGCAGCACTGGTGAGGTCCCTGTAAATATATAAATGGAAGATAAGTCCATTTTGTGCAGCCCATGCTGGGATGATCATGCTTGCTGTACTTCAAGAGATATTACACTTCATACTTGGATAATTTCTACTGCAGGAAACATTTCTTCCCTTGGCAGCTTACAGGCAGCAGGGAAAAGGGGAAAAGCCTGTGTGAGGATACTCAATGGCTTTGGCTGGGTTTTATTTCAGGCTTTTCCATCTCCTCAGGGCGAATGAAACAGGTCTAATTTTATAATTAATTTTTGGTTTAGAGATCGAACTTCCTTCCCATTTTCCTAACTCTAAGATTTAGAAGTTCAAGTCAAATTCAAAGGAAAAAAACTGAAAAGAAGCATTGAATTCTGACCCCTTTCACTGTCAACATCATCCCTCCTGCCTCTTCCTTTAAGCAAAAGAAGACACACACAGGAGTTTGTTCTGAAGGCACAGATGTATCGTGTGTAGAGCACAGTAATAAACAAGCAAGTGTCCAGGATTTGCAGTTGTTTATTCTGGCCCAAAGACTGAAAAAAGGTGTAACTACACAATCAGCTGGTTCAAATTACCCCTAATGATAACTCCAGTGCCAGAAACTCTACGATTAAACCCTTTTGCACAGCATACACGTCCCGTCCTGTGGAGCCAGTCACGACTACGTGCAGGTGAGGACACGCCGTCCCTCCAGGTGGCGATACAGCCATTTTTTTCCTGTATTTCTTTTTTTCTGAATGTTACAGAAAAGCTGTTTCGATTCTGCACAGCAAGAGCTGATGATTTGAAATTTATATGTAAACATTGCATTTCTTTACAGTATTTATTTATAGTGACAATTATTCTGTGTATATATAGAGATGTATATACATAAATTCAAAACATATGTCTTTCTGTCTATACATAGATACCCACATCTACTTCTCACTGGAGCTATGCAAGCTACATGTCTGCATTCTGCTCTGCTCTGCCTGGACAGAACTCTGCTGCAGATGAATGAGGAAGATGTCCTGCCAGGAAGGAATGAAGAGGGATGGCAGCGGTGTAATTTCTAATTAATTAATCCATCATGATTAACTTCTGACATTGAAGCAATTGTGTTTAGTGTCTGCTGAGTGTCTGATCCAAAGACAGCTGCAATGAGCATTGCAAGGGAGAATTGATCCAGATTGGGTGCTCCACTCGAGATGGTGCTCCAGTGTTTTTGCAGCAGGGACTTCTGTGGGTGCACGGAGTAGCCTCCCCTCCCTCAGCCTTCTCCGTGCTGGTTTCCAGCCAGCTCCAGAGCAGGAAAACAGGTAGACAGGCTAAAGTGAAATCTAGTTGTAACAACAAACTAAAAGAAGGCCTCTCCTTGCCTCTTGCTACTTGTAAAATATAAAAGGGTGAACTGAAAGCAGGTGTAGCATTACTAGATTCAAAGAAATATGAACTTTAAATCAAGTTGTTCCTCTGCAGTGAACAGTCTTTCTTGGCTGTACTCACACTGAAGTGGATCGGGAATTTTTCCAATGCATTATAGATTCTATAGCAATGTAAGATACATCAATTGCAGTTTAGATTAGGAAAAATGATTGACTGACAAAACATTATTGTTGTGAGTTTACTTCTGCGTATAACCCGAAGTGGCAGAGTTAACAGCATATTTGCCTCAGGATGCCATTTGACTTTGACATGTCTTCTGGCTGACTGTCACCTCACCCACAGTGCAATAGGGTTTACATTTGCTGTTCTAAATCTTAGATTCCTGCAGACCCCTCAGAAATGTTCTGATTCACTGTCCCTGTGACACATGTAAGTTGGTGAGCAGCCAATAAAACACGAGACACTTTTGGTAGAATTTGGTGTTTTCTCTGATGAACTATTAAATTATATAGCTGACCTAATATCTTTGAATATTAGAAGTGGAGTTTTAGCTTGAACATGAAATGTAAATCAGTGGCTGAAAAAATATTCCAAAATAGCACCACGGAAACCAGATGAAATGAGTTAATGTATAATTCAAACAGTATAGCTAGGAGCAACATTTCTATTTCAATACTATGAATGTTTCTAAATCAAAACCAGGTTCTGATGTTTGATTTCTTTTTCTTTAAGCCTATTTTTTGTTGTTGTTGGAGATATGAATGGTAATTAAAAGCAACAGTGAATTATGAAGCTATTAAGAGCTGATATTAAAAATTAAATAATGGAAGTCTTGTTTTATGTTACTGAGCTCCTAAGGCACATTTAAAGCAAACTCACTGAGAAATTCATGCTACTTCCCTGTCAGCCATTTTATTCAATACAAACCTCATTTGCTGAATATAGCTTACCAGGTTCCAGTTAATACTCAGCTTAAAATTTAGTTTGTGGCATAGGTCAATAGAGTAACTTTTGAGAATTATGTTGTTAGTAGCCTCAGGTGGAGAACTGCATTAGAGCTTGCTAAAGGTTAGCATTTTATCCTGCAGAAGGAAAGGTGATGTATTTTATGTGGGCTCTTCAAAGTCAGAGAGTAGCACAGTCCACTTATGCAGCCCTTTTTGGAAGCCTGAGAGGACCCACTTTCTGTTATTTATTTATAAAAAATTCAGGTGTAGCACAATGATATTTTTCTGAGGCCTTGACACTATCCATCAATAAAGAAAGATAATTTAAATTACCCAGCAGTGTGGAGACAAGGGCGATTACTGAATACCATCCCACCTTAACAGGCAAGCAGATCATTTTCTGTATACTGATACAAATGTCATGGATAGTTCTTTGAAATGTCATGATGCAGAAAGACAGAATATATTTGTTGTGGTTTGTTTGGGGTTTTTTTTGGGGAATCTAGAAAATCAACATTAAAACAAATGCATGTTCTCTTTTGGTTAATACTGAAACCCTAGGGGACAAGTTTATGAACTGCTGGAAAGCATTCTGCGTCAGAGGCATTTAATTCATAGAGACCTCTTTTCTCACCTTTAACGAATTACAAAAAAAAAAAAAATAAATGTTAAACCCAGATTTTTGCACTGTCCCACTGGGACAGACAGGCTGTAGATGGACCGAAAGGGACCATCATTCAGCTTGCATCAAATGAACCAAAAAAACACAGGAGTAGAAAACTCTGCTTCATTACCTACAACCTTTTCCTTTTTCTGCTAAAAAAGCAACAACTCCAAAGGACTGGCTAATCAAGCATGAGTTATAAATTATCATTGTCACAATCACTTTATTCCCTTTTCCTTCTTTACACTTTAAAAACAGAATCAGATCAGTATGCAACTAGATAACAAAATCTAGATAAGGAGATGGCTTCACAGAGAATAGGATGCATACCAATGCTCATGTTGCTGGTACTGAAACTGATTATACCTTATCAGGAATTATTGTTATAAATCTTTTTTCATGGAAGGGATATTTTATCTCGGAGTGCTGTGCAGCTAATGTTTTGAGGTTTTCACATAAACGTCTATTGAAAGGGGAAGTTGCCAGGTCAAACTGCTCTTTACTGCAGAAGAGAAAGCACTGAGGTCCAACAACAAAAGTGAGGATATATACTGACCCAGGTAGGAACTTGGTGAAAATTGGAGTCAGAGAAAAATAAAAAAAAAAAAAAAAAGAGAAACATGGCTTACCCAGTGTATCTGGTAGCTCACATGTTGTTCAGCTTCTGTCCCCAGGCACCTTGAGGAGGGAAAATAGAACTTGACACAGAGGAGTGGTTGGAGTTTGTAAAACAAATATACATTTGTTGTAAAACACTGCTGCTCTTCCTTTAACAAAGCACTCGCTTGGCCGTGACTGCTGTTTACCACATAAAAGATAACCTTCCTGTTACTCTGTTTACCTGTTCATTGTTCTTCTCATTCAGCTGGTGTTTCACCTACAAGCAGTTTGAAGCAAGTATGACATCTTTGGATGATGCACTTTGAAAAGATCCCAGTGCTTTGAAGCCCAGGTGCCTAAAGGAAATGTTTATGCAATAATAAAATTTAGTGACAAAACATAGAAGTGCAGTCACAAAATGTTAAGGACAAATGCAACAGCCTGAACTGTTTCCTTCTGATTTCCTGGTTTTGATGGTCCTGATTGCTCTGATCTCTGGGACATGGCTTGGCTGGGACTGAGAGATGATCCAGAGCCAGTCACCAGCAGCTCAAGCTGCTGCATTAAAATCCTGCCATAGGGTTTGCCCAGATATACCTTTAATTATGATATCTTA